ATGTTTGTGATAGTAACTGAGGTAAGGCCAAACAATGGTTTAGCTAAGCCATGGCGCTATTTTATTAAGCAATCTTTAGATGCTAATTAGGTACATGGCAATATGAAAGGACATGCTACACTAGGAGAGAAAAATACAATATAAATTTTTATTTATTTATTTTGGCTTTTTAAGTCACAGTTTCTCTGTGTAGTCCTGCCTGTCCTCGAACTCACTGTATACACCAGGCTGGCCTCGAACTCAATAGATCCACCTGCCTCTGCCTCCCAAGTGCTGGGATAAAGGGCATGTGCCATCACCACCTGGCACCAAAATACAAGTTTTTAAAAATTTCAACTTATGCATGTCTTGGAGACAGCACCTTGAGGTGGGAATGCTAGCTCCTAGAATGCCAGTTCCTGGAGTGGATTCTCCAGAGCCAGTTGTTACACAAGCCTGAACTTAGCAGCCCAGTTCTTTCTGCTTCTTATTCTCTATGTGATTTATTTCTCCTCACATGTCATTGCCATTTGCCAGGGCTGTGTTTTGTTTTGTGGTGTTTGTTTCCTTCTTCCTAAGAAGGCTGGCTCAGGAATTTCACTGCAATTGATGAACACAAGGAGGCTCTGATTTTGCTGGATAACAGTTGGAGGTAATAGCAAATAGTACCTTCCAGAACATGTCCCTTAGATCTGGGCAGACTACACAGCGGACTGTATATAGATTGTCATAACAGTATGAATCCCTATTCATCCAACAATTCTAAGCATCTGATCTTGACTTTGGGGACTTTCATATTTAAAAAAATACTGTGCAGTAATGACAGCCTTATTTGCCTTTTAAATAGTAGGTGTCTCTTTTATATTTATTGTATGTGCATTGGTGTTTTGCCTGCATATATGTCTGTGTGAGGGTGTCAGGAGCCCTGGAACTGGAGTTACAGACAGTTGTGAGCTGTCATGTGGGTGCTGGGAATTGAACCTAGGTCCTCTGGAAGAGCAGTCAGTGCTCTTAACAGCACAGCCATCTCTCCAGCCCCTAGCAGGTGTCTCTTAGTCAGGAGGAAGATAAAAATAGACTAAAAAAAAGTTGTAAAAGCACTTCCCTCTTTCTCAAGGGTCGTTATTTTCAGCTCTCTGGTTTCTGATTCCCATCCAAATTCTTTTTTGTCCCACCCCCCTTCTGTAGTGGGGAGTGCATGTATACACACTGGGCACTGGACAAATGCCTCAAGATTCTGTAGGTCTTTCAAACCCAGATCTCTGCCTGACCCCAATCCTTGGGTACCTCAGTCTCAGCAAACATTACCTTAAGATCCATCTTTATGGTTAAAGTTTTTTTTTTCAAATTGTGTCTTGCTGTGCATTCCAGCTAGTCTTACACTCAAGCCAGGCCTCTGTCTTAGTCTCATGAGTGCTGAGATTACAAGTGTGTACCAAAATGCCCAGCTTGTCCAACAATTTTTTTTAATTAAACAATGAGTTCTACAGTAGAGGAAACTCAGAACTCAGGGCTAATTCCGTGTTTAAGAAAAGAGCAGACAAGTTGTTAATTCATCTGTTCAATCCTTCCTCCAGGCACTTGCATACTATAAAAGACTGAAATCATTGGGGGGGGGTGGGGACTCCTGCTTCCCACTGCCATTCATGCTAAGGGAGGTGCTGTTCACAGCATTGACCTTTGGAATGGTGAAACACCCGTTTCTCAGCTTTGGACGTGAGACAGAAGCATCCTAGGGTTTAACAGAAGACATAAAGAAGTATAGGGCTGGAGAGATGGCTTAACAGTTGAGAGTATGTTCTTGCAAAGGAGGACCTAGTTTCTGATAGCCCTTTCTAGCACCAAGGTCTCCTGCACAGACATGTTGCACATAAGCCCATACAGACAAACATAAACTTAAAACTAATATTTTGAAGTTCAAGAGGACAAGTTTTCAGTCAGAAAGTTAAGGAAAGATGTCTTTTCTCTCAACAGGTGACTATTCATAATTCTGTTTGCACTGGAGCCCTTCCAGTACATTAATAAAAACCTTTCCAGACACTGGCGCACAGTGGGAGCCAGGGAACAACGAATAAAGGTTGACTTTTAACACTAACTTCTGGTCTTGGAACTTCTGTACTTGACCACAGCCTTTGACATGGAGAATTTGTCCTTTGTGCCCTTGTCAAATGCACACAAGTGTGATGGGGTGGGGAGGTACCGAGGTACCGAAGAGGTGGGTCTGGAGCTGTCCAGCATCTGACGGCTCCTAGAAGAGCGCCTCCAGCCCCTGCCCCGCCCCCGCGGTCCTGAGTCACAAAGGCGGTTGCCAGGTGCCGGGTGGGAAAAAGATGCGGCCACTACTCTGGAGCGTGCAATCCGTGTGGAGTTCAGTAGGTGAGCTCCCGGCCCGGATGGTGATGGTGGGTCCGGGCCCGGGCTCCCACCGCTGTCCCGGCCTCGGGCAGGGCCGTGTGGCTCCCGCTTCGGGGGAGGGACTTGGAGGGGGACAAGCCTGTTCTCCAAGCACTCCAGCAGCTCGGGATCTTTTCACAGTTCCCGAGGACTTCAACTGCACTTTGGCGCTGCCTTCCCCTTTCCCAGGTGGGGAAATTGAGGATCTGGGTTCCTCAGAAGGAAGGCGCCTACAAAAAGGAAGTCTTTTGGACAGGAGAATCAGGTGTTTCCCGTGTGGGGCTAGTACAGCAACTTGTTCAGACACCCTGCATCCACCTTGCCATGGTGGTATACCAGAAGCCCCCCTCTTGGATGTTTTTTGTCTTTTTTTTTTTTCAGACAGGATCTTACCTTATGTAGCCTAGACCATTAATGAACTCATAGCAATCCTCCTGCTTCAGCCTCTCAAAAGTTGAGATGACAAGCATTGGCAATGTGCTCTTAAATTCAAGATACCCAGCACTGGAAGCCTTTCAATTTGGAATAGATAGCTGCTCTTTGGTGTCAGTTTCTCATCCTAAGGCAGCCCAGATATTTGAAATGTAACAACTTGCAACGACACTGCATAGGCATAAACTAGGCATAGACGGTGAGAAACACTATCAACTGGGGGAAATCTGCAAATTCCCTTTGTCCTAATCACTCCAAAGGGCACTTTTGGAATGTTTCCAGCAGTTTTTTGTTTTTGATTTTGTTGTTGTTTTGTTTTTTTGAGACAGGGTTTCTTTATGTAACAGCCCTACCTGTCCTGGAACTCTCTCTGTAGACCAGGCTGACCTCAAACTCACAGAGATCCTCTTGCCTCTGCCTCCTGAGTGCTGGGATTAAAGGTGAGCCATCACCGCCCGCCTTGATTTTTAAATTTTATTTATTTAATGGTTTTTTGAGGCAGGGTTTCTCTATAGCATTGGAGCCTGTCTTGGAACTCACTCTGTAGAGCAGGCTGGCCTCAAACTCAGAGATCCGCCTACCCCTGCCTCCCAAGTGCTGGAATTAAAGGCAATGTGCCACCACTGCCCGGCATTTGATTTATTTTTAATGAACTGGGGAGGTGTCAACCTTTTTGGGATGGTAACCACTGGACAAGACCTGTTGTTGTCTTTTGTGGCAGAAAGAGGAGGGACAAAGATTTTGACTTGGCTAAAAACCAAGGGGACCTACCTGCAGGACCCACTGATTCAATGGGACCTGTAATGACCCTTCACAGAAGAGGAAGGTGCTAAAAAAAATACTAGTTCCTCCAGAATTCAGGAGGCACTGTCAATTTGGAAGCAGAATGACAGAAAATCAAAATTTTACTTGGAATAAATTTTGAGTTACTATCCTCCCAGCACTTCCTCTTGTGGTATTCAAGGTATTCTCCAGTACCTTACACATGAAAATATATGTATGGGGAGAGGAATGAACACATTTTAAAGGCTGGCCCTTGAAAACGCTCCTTCACAGAATGTACCTCTTCCAAGGTGCTGTATAACTACCCATTGCTCTGTAATGATTTCTTGATTTGAATGCTTTTGGGGCCAAGAGGAGACTGTCCCAGCAATATTTTTGTTTTGGGGTTGGGTTTTTCTGCTGTTTTTATTTTTTTATTAAAAAAAATTTTTTTTTTGAAGACAGGGTCCGCTGATGTAGCCCCAGCTGTCTTGGAATCGCTATGCAGACCAGGCTGTCCTTGAGTTCATAGATCACCTGCCTCTGCCTTCTGAAGTGATGGGATTTTATTTTTTTTTTGAAAGACTTATTATGTTTACATCTGTACATTCAGGTACTGGTAGAAAACAGAAGATCACCCTGTTAGATCCCCTGGAGCTGTAGTTACAGGGCGCTGTAAGATACCTGACATGGGAGCTGAGAACCACACTCAGGTCCCCTGAGCAAGTAGCAAATACGCTGAACTGTTGAGCCATCTCTCCAGTACTTTCCCCCCACTCACTATGTATGTAGCTCTGGCTAGCCTGGAACTCACTATGTAAACAGTCTGGCCTCCAACTTGTGATGACCCCCCCCTCACCTCTACCTTCCAAGCATTAAGATTATAGTAAGGCCTAAGCCACCAAGTCAGGTACTGTTTTTCTTGGATGTCTCCATAAGGAAGAGTGAAAACCGGAGATTCCTAAAAGCCACACTGTAAGTGGTCTGCAAACTGTAAGGTGCAACAGAATCCTTGAAAGGTTTATATACAAGTAAACATGCCCCACCCCACATTTCTAATTAAGTAGGTCTGAGACAGGGCCCCGAGAGCTTGCATTTCTACCAAATCCATAATGAAGTTAAAACTGCTAGTTTAAGGGTTATACCAAGTAAAAATGCTTGTAACGACATGGGCTGAGTTTCTTCTCATCAAATAATGTCTCATCATGAAGTCCAGCTGCTTGTGCCCACCGGAGGCATCGATTAAGATACTGCATTTCAGACAAATCCATGTCATCTGTAGCATGGGTGAACTTTCTTACAGAGGAAGTTTTAGTGTGTACAGCAGTGGCCACAGTCACTATCTTTTGCCCTTCACAGATCTATTGACCCCTGCCACATACTGGCATCTGTTCAGTGGGGACCACTAAGTTTTAAGTCAGTAATGAGACGATGTGAATTTGAACAGCCACGCCTCTCCCCTCCCCCTAAGCACAGCAGGGAAATTCCATGTCTGATTCCTTTCCTTTAGGACTGTCAATGGCAGGATACCAGCTCTGGTCACCATGGACCCCACTGGATGAGAGCTTCCAATGGCTGCGGCACACAACACCTACCCCTTGCTCCAAACACCCTTTCAGGGCCTCTCCTTGCTTCCCACACACGCCTTCTGACCTTGAGGTGCAGTTGTGCTTTCAAGAAGTCACTCTCGTCCTAGACAGCCCACTTGTGGCACCTGGAGAGAGCCCCAGGTTACCCCGTCACACCTCAGAGCTCCGAGCAGTGACTAACAAGAAAGGACTTGTGAGGAAGCCCCAGCCAGTCCGTCTCAAGGGAGTAGATTCTGTTTTCGGTAGGGTCATCACAGCCCAGCCCCCCAAGTGGACTGGAACCTTCAGAGTTTCAGACAAATCAGCCTTCTGCAAAATTATCAGCAGGGAACACCAGTGGCCCACTGGACTCAAGGAGCCTCAGATCCAGATGACAGTGACTATGTGCAAACAGATGCTCCGCTCCATCCTCCTGCTCTACTCGACGTACAAGAAGTGCACCTTTGCCCTGCAGCACTCCAAGTAGAGGGTCTCCATCTGACCCCTGTGCTCCCCACCATGCTCTCTGGTATGTACCCAAAGCTTACACCGTAACATCAGGCCAGCTGTTTCGCCTCTCAGTCAAGCTGGGACAAGTTTTCCTCCTCCCTTTCTCTTCAGAAACAGGACCAACCAATGATACTGAGCAAGGAAGAACATTTCCACTGTACAGCTGAATGGCCATTCAGTCAGCCTAATACTGACACACAGATGTGATAATGATTAAGCTACCATACAAACAAGCCAGCCTAGTGTGAACACACTCAAATGCCAAAGACAGCCATGAACTGGCAAAGAAAAGGGATGCCAAGAAAAGACAGGTGTGGATGTCTGGGTACCAGAGGAAGAAGGGGTCAAAAATCTGTATGTGGTTTAAGGACTAACTTAAAAACAGCTTTCCCTCCTCAAACAAATGTCAACAACAAGACATAACTTTAATACCAGTATGGGTAAAAATAATAACAAATATTAAATAATCTTAATAGCACGGCAAGGAAGAGCTTGACAGCAGCCTTGAGACTTGTTTTCTGGCAGAAGACAGGAGAATCCCCTGTTTTAGCTCCCGATGTTCTGTTTCTAATAAACTATAATTATTTTGTATGATTCTTACAACTAGATTCTAGGCATAATTCAGAATAATGTGGAAATAAATACTATATATACATACAATGCCAGCAGATGTTTGATGATGTCTTCTCTTCCTTTGTTTTAAACTAATAACCAAAAAATTTCTAAGCAAGCTGGTGAGGGGGCTAAGCAGGAAAAGGTCTGGAATTCTGATCCCTGGAACCCACGAGGTGGAGAGAGAACCGACTTCCAACAGTTGTCCTCTGTGCTCCACATGTGCGCCACAGCACACATGTGCCTACACACACACACACACACAAATAAATGTTTAAAAATTCAAAAGGAGCCGGGCGGTGGTGGTGCACACCTTTAATCCCAGCACTTGGGAGGCAGAGGCAGGCAAATCTCTGTGAGTTTGAGGCCAGCCTGCTCTACAGAGCGAGTTCCAGGACGACAGCTAGGGCTACACAGAGAAACCTTGTCTCAAAAAAATAAAATAAAAAAAAAAAATGAAAGTGGTGTTCAAGACCCTCCTGGCCAACAGAACAAATACCACAATAGGCAGCCAGGGCTACAGAGAAACCCTGTCACAAAACGAAATAAAAACACAACAAAAATCCAATTCAAAGGTAGTTGCAATGTTCTTTTTGACTTTCTGGGTCATTGACACAAAGTGCAAGTCATTCCTCCTGGAAGGAAACAATACTTTTAAGTGTTGCTTGCACTGGTATGATTGCACAAACTTGAATAACGAGACACATCTAAAGTGAGGAGGAAGGTCTTTCCTCAGGGCAAAACTCAGAAAAATTTATTTCCTAAATTTTAAAATAAGTCAGTGTCAAAACTAGCCCCTAAAGGCTAGCTGGAGCATTTACTCTGCAGAAGCAGCACGGCCATATTTATCCAAACCACTGGCGGATGCTACACTGGAATCCTGGGCCAGGACCTGGATGTTGGACAATCTGTGAAATCCACTGGTTAGTTAAATAAAAACCCCTTCTTGAAGGAGAAACAGGAAGCTATGGTTGAAGAGACAGAGAGCAGAATTCCATCCCCCAAAGAAAAGGGTAAGAGGCTGCCAGAGACGAGGAGGGGCAGCTGTGTCCAGGGGTCTAATCAGAGCTGTCATCACTTTCATCACTATCTTGGTCCTTTTGTCCATCACTTGCTTCGTCTTCCCCATCCTAAAGGATGAAGAGAAAAAAAAAGTACTTGAGCCCAGTTCTTGCAACACAGCTCCCACAGATGTAAACTACACCATTTTCTTTCTTCTTCTTTTTTTTTTTTTTTTTGGTTTTTTCAAGACAGGGGTTTCTCTGTGTAACAACCCTGGCTGTTGTGAAACTCTCTATGTAGACCAGGCTAGCCTCTACCTTCTCAGTGCCAGGATTAACGGTGCGTGCCACTTGCTGGGCAGTGGTGGTGCACAACTTTGATCCCAACACTTGGGAAGCAGAGGCAGGCGGATCTCTGTGAGTTCAAGGCCAGCCTGGGCTACAGAGTGAGATCCAGGAAAGGCTCCAAAGCTACACAGAGAAACCCTGTCTCAAAAAACAAACAACAAAAAAAGGTGTGCCACCACCACCCAGCCATTTCTGTTCTTAAAAGCAATGAAAATTTAAAAAACTTTGTAAGCTAAAGCAGAAGTCTCCTCCATTTTGTTTTGGTTTTCTTTGTTGTTTGTTTTGTTTTGAGAAAAGCTCTTCTATAGCTCAAAATCATCTCAAACTCATTATGTTGCCAAGAAGGACCTTGAGCTTGTGAGCCTCCTCCACCTCCCAAGTGCTGGGATTACAGGCACATTCAACCATGCTCAGCTCTTTTTTTCTTTGTTTTCTGAGATGGGGTCTCATTATATAGCCCTTGGCTAGACTCAAGCTCAGGAGACCCACCTCCTTCTGCCTCCTAAGTGCTAGGACTAAAGGCATGTGCTTGGCTCCCTATAATTCTTGCCGTGAACTATAAGCCAAGACCATAGAGAAAGGTTTTTGTTTTGTTGAGACAGGGTCTTGTTGTGCAGCCCTATCTGGCTCAGAACTTATTATGTAGACCAAGCTGGCCTTGAACTCACAGAGATCCATCTGCCTCTGCCTCTATAGTGCTATAATTAAAGATGTGAACCACCACATTCAGCCTAAGAGGTCATTTTGATACTGAATTATTGACAAATGAACTAAATCTACATGATCTTTAAAAAAGCCAGAGCTTTCCAGCTGCTCTTCAGGCACAAAACACAGAAACAAAGTCACATTATCAATTCAACATAGAGCAAGGCTTAGCATGGTACAGCTCTGTAGTCCCAAGATTCAGGAGATTAAGGCAGGAGGATTGTGAGTTCAAAGGCAGTCTGGGCTACATAGCAAGGCTCTGCATACACAAAAGGAAAATAAACAAGCAAAACTGTATATGTAGTGTGTGTGTAAAGCAATGGTTATTACAAGTACTGGCATACATCAACAGGAGTCCAGCATGAAACTGGTTTGCTCCTCTGCAAGGACACGTTTTTGTACTGGAAGCATAGCATACTGACCACCTTGGATTCCTTATGAGAGTAAGAAGAGATCTATTATAGGACTAAAATAGAGCCTACAGACTTCATAATGCACAGTCTTTCTGTGCACAGCTTTTAGCTAAACTGCCTGGTATCCAGAAAAGTGATCTGAGCAAAACTCGATGCACATATTTTTATTTAGCTTATATTAAATCCACAAAAGCATCTGTCCACAGAAAATGAGGACCTGTATTATTTTATTCCTCTGTAGTGGCAGCTTGACTCTAGGCTTCTGATTTATTTTAATTTTGTATGTTAAAACAAGGTGAGGGGCTGGAGAGATGGATCAGTGTTAAGGGCACTGGCTGCTCTTCCAGAGGACCCAGGTTCAACTCCCAGCACCTACATGGTAGCTCACAACTCTAACTTCATTCCCGGAAGGGTATGGGGGTGGGTTCAACAGGCCCTTCTGGCACCCACAGGCACCGCACATACGGTGCAAAGAAAAACACGTGCAAAAAATACACATACATATAAAAAAAAGCTAAAATGGCCAGGCATGGTGGTGCATGCCTTTAATCTCAACACTTGGGAGGCACAGACAGGCATATCTCTGCAAATTCAAAGCTAGCCTTGTTTACATAGTAAGTTCTAGGCCAGCCAAGTCTGCCAAAAAGAGTTGAAATGGCTTAAATTCATTTTTAATACAGAACATGCTGGTCTTTTCTCCCTTCTACAACATATTTACATTCAAGATCATAGAAAACAGGGCACTATATACTGGGAGAAAAACATCTCCACTTTGTTTTTGGTACAGATGATTGAATGCACAAATATGTACATGCTAAGTACATGCTCTGCCACTGAGATATAATTCCCCTTAAGTTGTAAACAAATTTTCAACACACCTTGAGAGATACTTGAGGGAGCCTCTGATGACGCAATTGTATTTTATGGACCCCACAGCATTCATATAAGCTTTTTGTAGGGAATGGAGATGGGCACAGAAGTATTTAACAATGGACATATACAGAGAAAATCCTATACTTTGTGCTAACAAAGAATACTTAATAAAATGCTCTGCTAATACCACACCAGACTGTGCAGATACCTTTGCTGCTCTGCTCCTGGAGACGTGAGATGTTATGCCATCCTCACTATCTTCTGAAGCGCTCTCTGGAGAAGAGGGATACTGGGAAACAATTTCTTCACCCTAAATGTAGAAGCAGAAGAAATGGGGGTTGTAATGAGCACATTTATGGTTTTGAGAAAGGCCAAGTTTCTAAGTATTAGAGAAGAAATATTCTAGCCATTCAAAACATATCAATTGGGCTGGAGAGATGGTTCAGAGGTTAAGAGCACTGGCTGCTCTTCAGCGGTCTTGAGTTCAATTCCCAGCAACCACATGGTGCCTCACAACCACCTATAATGAGATTTGATGCCCTCTTCTGGTGGGCAGGCATACATGCAGGCAGAACAGTGTAAACATATAACTTTTTTAAAAAAGAAAAAAGTCATAAGAATATTATAAAAACAAAAACATAACAACCTCTGATTTATCATTTAGGGAAACACTGTTCATTTCCAGGTTTCTGAGATTCCCATGGAACTGATACATAATTCTATACAAGCTTCATTTATATTCTCACTTATTTATATTCTTCATTTTATATACTCACTCTGTAGACCAGGCTGGCTTCAAATCCAGAGATCTGCCTGCCTCTGCCTCCCGAGTACTGGGATTAAAGGTGTACATCACCACTGCCACGCTAAATAGTATTTTGAAATTTTTTAACCTTTATTTTTACGTCTATTATTGTTCTACCTGCATGTGTGTCTGTGTACCTACCACATGCATGCAGGCCCATGGAGGCAAGTAGAGGGAGTTGGATCCCTGAACTAGAGTTATAGACAGTTGTAAACCACACCATGTAAGTGCTGGGAATCAAACCTGAGCTCTCTGAAAGAGTGGCCAGTGCTCTTAACTGTTGAGCTGTCTCTTTAATCTTTTTTTTTTTTTAATTTATTTATTTTTATTTCACGTACATTGGTGTTTTGCCATGGGTGTTGGGTCTCAGGAACTGGAGTTACAGACAGTTGTGAGCTGCCATGTGGGTGCTGGGAATTGAACTAGGGTCCTCTGGAAGAACAGCCAGTGCTCTTAACCACTAAGCCATCTCTCCATCCCATGTCTCTTTAATCTTATAATCTTTTTGTTGTTGTTGTTGTTTGATTGTTTTTCGAGACAGGGTCTCTCTGGGTAGTTTTGGTGCCTGTCCTGGGTATTCTCTCCCTGTAGACGAGGCTGGCCTCGAACTCACAGAGATCCTCCTGGCTCTGCTTCCCAAGCCCTGGCATTAAAGGCGTGCATCGTCACCACTACCTAGCTAGTCTTATAATCTTAAACAACCAAAGACATGATAACAGTAGTCTCTTTTCCCACTAATGGGGATTGCATCTAGTTCCTTATATATACGAGCCAGATAAGTATTCTATCCCTAAGCCCTCTATTTACTTTTAATTTTGTTGACAGCTTTGCTAAATTGCCCAGGCTGGTCTTGAAATCACTCTGTAGCTGGGCAAACCTTGAACTTGCGATCCTTCTGCCTCAGCCTC